CTGTCCGAGTACGTACTCCAATTTTATTTTGGAAGCGGCTTCTCTCTTTTGCCCCGATGGTCTGATGCCCTCCTCCTTTTCTTTTTCTTTTTCTTTTTTTGTGATCATTTGGGTGTAAATAACACACGATGATCACTTTTTTTAATATCTTAAAATATCTTCTTCAATAAGATGCAGCGTGCTAAAATATATTTTTTTCCATTTAGCAACCTATAATATTTTTTAGTCTCACCCAATATCTAGCATTTAGTATTATGAAGTACTTTTTCAGTAACATTCAGTAGCATAATTTAATTTTTAATACATCTAGCACCAAAATTATTTTTTTAGAGTCATCTAATATTCTGAAATATTTTTTTAACAAAACCTAGTATCCTAAAATAATTTTTCGTCCACTCAGCATCCTAAAATACTTATTTTACTGCCATCTAGTATCTAGCATCAAACACCTTGAAGTTTTTTTTTAATATGACATAATATCATAAACTAATTTTTTTAATATATCCAAGATCTTAAAATATTGTGCCAAAAATTATTTTGGATGCTGGATAGATTAAAAATTAATTTAGGAGATATTAGGTAGTGGGTGAGACTAAAGCGATATTTTAGTGTAACGAGTGAAGCAAAAATTATTTTAAGATACTAGATCTTACTAAAAAATTATTTCAGGATATTGAATGGCACTAAAAAAATACTTCAAAATGTTAAATACTACTACTTCTAGTCTTTAACATAAAAGCTAGTTGACTAATTGAGTATTAAGAAAACTAATTAAGTTAGTTATTTGTAATAAATAGATATTGCTTTTCCTAAAATATCCTTACTAATTAAATGTACTAATTAGAACTACTATTATTACAAGGACCACTTTTAGAAAAAATGAATAAGTATAAGAAATAAAATAGACTGAGGTCTTATATTTAGGACTAAAATAAAAATCAAACTCTAAGAAGAGCAGGTAGTATTAAAACAAAGTTATCGGCATGTATCATTTACACCGAAATGACACAGTATGACAACATACTGGAAGAGCACATAAGAAAAAGCAAGGGATGGAAGCCGCTTCCTTTTATTTTACCTGTATGCCTGATCTTTTTCCCCACGAGAAACTCGCACAGGCATTATTATTATTATTTTTGTAATAATAACAATAATTTATAAAATCTGTCACATGGATAATAGCATTTCATTTATCAAATTTTTACCAAAACAACTTACAACTACTATTATTCTATCATTTCACATGCCGCAAACATAAAATATCATACTCCCTTTGAAGATTAGTATTGGAACTGGGTGGAAGTTATATTTGATTCAAAATATAATACTTCAATCTATTTTATTTGTAATATTTATTATTTTTAAACTAAGTTACTTAATTTATAAGTTAATATATAATCTAATATAATATAGAGATATTTTAAGAAGATCATATCATATTTTGTTATAATTAATTTATTTATTAATTTTTTTAATCTACCTGAATTAACTAAATAATTGTTGTGCTATGTTAGAAATCGGAAGTGTATTAGAGGATCACAGCATCCGTATGATTGCAGGATATTATCTTACGTAACCTATAACCATCTACTTAAATATAAACAAGTTGTTTAAACCTGCAACTTGAGTCTACCAGAAAATCAGGGTTATATATTGTGTTTTTAATAAAAGAGTTAGTTGAATATTAAATTTAATCATAAATATAAGATCTCAACCTACTTTATCTCTAAAATTTATAATGTTTTCTTTAAAATATCTCATGGCTAAAGTATATATTTGGTCCTTTAATTCTATACAATGTTTCAATTTGGTCCTTTAACTTTATGAATTTTAACTTACCTTAATTTGTCGCTTTGAGGTTACTTCAAAAATTAACCGAATTAATGCAATATAGTACACAATCCGGGTCGTATTCACTTTGAGGAGCCGAAAACGAAACTAAATCCTAGTAAATAATTGCAAGTAACCTAAACTAAAGGAATTTTTTATTTTGAAAAATTGCTAATTAAATGTCTTGAATTAAATTGAAATTAAAATACCTTATATATATATATATATATATAAATGATTGAAATAAATGAAGATAAAAGAAATGAAAATGAAACACACAAATAACAATGATAATAATCAATCCTCCAATTCAACAACACAGGCAATCATCACTCTAAAAGATGTCGGAGTTAAAAACAATGAATTAAGAATTATAATTAAGCTTTTAATCCAACAACCGAACCAGCTCGAGTTGCCACAAAATATTTTTCTAAAATCCCAACTTACTAACTGCAACCAGAATAGTAAAATGGGATTAAGGATGCTAAAAACCAATGTTTAATTAGAACTCTTAAATTCAAAATAACAGAATTAAAGCTAGCAAGAGACAATATAATTCAAAATTCTAAGCTACATTAGAAAATCACAATATATTAACTCCAAAATCAATACAAATGTCATAACCACAACATTATAATTGAAATCAAAGCTATAAATAGCCCAATATCAAATGTTAAGCAATAATTCAGTCACAATAATCTCCAAATATAATCAGATTAAGCAATACAATTATTCCAACAATCAGAAAAACTATCCTAAGACCTAGGAATTGTTAAACAATTATTGAGTAAGAAATTAAAGCAACTAAAACTTCCCTTTATGATCCAAGCTCTGTTTTGTTGGTTTTTTCCGCCGCCCAGCTCGCATCACCTTGTGTGTGCTCTCTGGTTCCACGTTCAAGATCAGCTGAGAAGACGAAGGTGAAGTGGCCGATGATGATGATTCTCGTGTTCTCCCTCCCTATTCGCGTGGCTCTGCTCACCGCCGCTGGTTCGCTGTCACTTTCTTTTCTTTTCCTTCACGCCGTCAGCTCGCCCCACTCTCTCTCTGGTTTTCTCACGCTCGCTGCCTCCTCCGTTTTTCCAACTGCCCAGCTCTATTTTTCTACCAGGTCCCTCGCGCCGTTAGCTTGCTCGTGGGTCTCCGCCTTCTCTCTTCTGATGATGATGAATAGAATTATAGGATATTTGCGTTTTACTCCCTCTTTTTATTATATTATATTATATTATATTTATTTATTTATTTATTTATTTTTAAATCTTCTAAAAACCTGCAAACAAAATTCAAGAATAAGGTAGCATTAATTGTCCTCAAAAATCAATTAGTCACAATTAAACCAAAATATGACAATTTTGCCCCTACAAAATAATAATTCAAAATAAAACATATTAAATCAATTAATAATCAATTAAGGCCAAAAGGACTAATTAAGTTGATAAAACCCATATAAAAGATATCAAAATATATAAAAATAATTGAGTTTGTCACTTTAAAAAGTATATTTTTAGTCCTTTTACTCTAAAAATTTTTAAAAAACTGATGATATTAAGATTTTAAATGTTGATAAAATATTCTCAAATGCTAACATATTAAGTTTAATTTTTAAAAATTAATCCATGATTGTTATAAAAAAATCATCATTAAAGCCTAGTAATTTTAGGATTAAAGGACCAAGTGTATGCTTTTTAAAGTTAAAAGGCCAAATTGAAATCTTGTACAAAGTTAAAAGACTATGTATATACTTTAACCAATATCTTATTGATTGAAAAGGGTTCTCATCAAGGGATAGTTTGAGTGCACATAATTAACTAAGGTAGTATAAGAAAGTCAACATACATTTGATACACTTAACCAACTTAACTAATTTTCTTAATCTTGTGCTAACTTGTCTAAATTACCTTATTTAATCATGTGCATTGAAAATATTTTTTGATAACAACCTGTTACAATCAATAGAAATATTTTAGGAAAAAAACAATATAAATTTGATAGACAAAGTGGATTGAAGTCTTGTATTTATTATCAAATTCAATCTTTAATTAACTTTTATATTGAGGACCGGAGGTAATATTAAGGATAAGAAGCAGTATAATGTTTTTTTTTTTCTGTGGCGTAAGCTATTGCCTGAAGTTTTGGAGGGATTAGCATCAAACTCATGTCATATTGTTTAGCATCAAACTCATATCATACGGTAATACTCAGTTTTAAAGTACGATTATTTTCTTGCTGGCAAAATAATACCATTATTTTTCTTGTGGGGGCTTTAATAACATTCTCCTTTTTGAAATTGGTCATTTTCATTCTCTCTACTATTTTTTTTATTAAATACAGTTATTTTCTTATTAAAAGTTTATTCAAGATACTGTTAGACACTATTATTTATATACATATAATAATGCAACTTCTGATATTGTGTTTTCTTTATTTAAATTGGTGTCGGTTGGTGTTTTAGTAATTAACTTCACAATTTCGTAGATGATTGAAAAAAGAACTGGACATGATTGCTTTTAAAAGGAGTTCATTTCCTTTGGGCCTTCTTTACCCTGAATATTTGTGGTTTTTTTTTAAGTCAGGCCTATTAAAGTTTTTTTTGCATTCATAAAGTCTCGAATTTGAGATCATGCGTAGACGAGCATACTTATTCATTTATATTCATACTTTGTTACAAGGAATCCAAATTATTTGTACATCTACTTGTTCCTTAAAGAATAGTATTGGTGCTTCAATCTCATGCAAAATATGTTTAAGGAAATAAATTAAAACATGCAACAAATTTATGACATCCATAAATTAACAAAAGAAACACAGAATAGAATAAAATCGATCTCCAATAATCATTGTTATTCCAAGAATTATATGTTTGATTTTGTTTCTGCCTTAATAATAACTAAGCACACACCCTTGTATTTACACAAAATAGTCAAATACCACGTAGTATGCATTATATGCAGCCATGTTATTTTATATATATATATATATCTATATATATGCATATCTCATAATCACAGGACCCTAGTGTGATGTGTCACTTATGGACATCTCACACGTATATATGCCTGTAAATTAAGGAGCATATTTTATATTTATAGTTGAAGATATATATATATATATATATATATTAAATTAGGAGCAATATATATAACTCCAAACTTGAGATTATATATCAAGTTTCAAATCAGCCATCCATTGTGGTTGATGTTATTATTATGAATGATCTGCCCACCTTGTGTCCTCGTGTCAATCGCTTTCCCTTTTGACCTATCTTCCTTCTGCCCATTCCTGTAATACATTAGTATATTAATTCATACATATATAATTATTTATAACTACTTGCTTATCAGGCATATGACTACTAGTATTGTACTGAGATTATAAAGTTACACTAAATATTTTTCCATTTAAACTAAATATTGGTTTCCATGGATTACATGGACAAGAATCGCTATAATTAGATGTTATGACTTGTAAAAACAATGCAATTAATTATAGATTTATATTATGTATTCAATCAGCATACTTTTTGATATCATATGAAATTTAAAATATATTTAATGGCTACCAATTTGACTATAATAATTCCATCTGAATCAAATTAAAAAAATCATGAACTAATAGTATTTTTATTCATTTAATGAACTATCCGAGAGGGGAGGAGAAAAAGTGAAAATGTATGTACCATATTTGTAAGGAGCTGTGATTTGTCCCAGCTGAATGGAGTTCAACATCTTCTACGGTTTGGCTACTTTCATATATTTCCTGAAGCTGAATTTTTGGCAGTTAAAAAAAATGTAATTAAGAAGCAAATTACCAAATTTTCATTTCACCCAAATGAAGATAACACTGTCCACTAATAATCATTAATAGCTTTATTTTTTTAAGAATTGAGGAATATACATATACCTTGTGCTTGAGTTCTTTGTTAACCTCCTCTAGCTCGTGTCCCTGGCGTAAATCAACAACATAAATGCTATATTCTTGTCAAAAAAGTATATATTGGTCTGTGTGTGTACGATAAAAATAGATAAATGCATGCATTAACTAGCTTTTCATCATTAACTTAGGCGAGTTCAACTCACGTATTCTCAAAATATTGTTGTAAATAAAAGCAACTCATCCAATATTTGCATTAGCCGTTGGAATATATGGTATATTATTTAAATGCAGATCACCCAAAAGAAAGGTTCTGATGAATCAATCATTACCTTTTTGCGTAACTCGTCGACTCGTTCCAACATCTTTTGGGTCTGCAATCAAACGGCAGGATATGTATGTTATTGGGATGCGAGGTAATGAATATCAGATTAATTAAGTTCAACTAGTTAGTTACAACTGAACTAAAATGACTCAACCAGAATAACAGTAATGGTTTTGAGAACGAATCTGCAATCTCATCGCATAATCGAGGGTTTATATATGAGGAACCACATTATAACCTACGTTCCCTATGGAACGCACGTTTAATTTTTCTCAACTGTCTTAATATAGCATACGTTGTTTGACAGATTTGGAAAATTGTTAACATGCAAAGATGGTTTTGATTCAGAAAGCATGGAAATGCAGTGGACAGCTGATATATATGACACTAAAAATTAATTAAATCAAATCCCATGAGCTTAAAACTATAAGTTTACAACTCACTTTTGGAGCTAATTATCATAGAAATTCCTCTAGAAATGTTAACTAGTCAAGCAAGGCAAGAGCCAAACAAATATATACAAGGAGAAATTGAGAGTTCATAAGCATTTTGTTTGTAAGAAATAGCTTAAATTTTGCAGTAAAGTTCAAGATATGATTTTTCCTGCATTTTAATTGATTCTGGCTATTCTTTTCTGCTCATTACATCCTTTATAAGCTAACAATTATTTGCTTTAAAACTGTTAATGTAAAATTTATGCTTTAGCATATAACAAATTTTTTTTGGTCTACAATTCTCTGATACACTAGTCTTGCTTTATTAAACATTTGTGTGTGACTTCTTAATCAGTAAATACTAGCAAACATAACCAATTTATAGTTAATAATTTGTGTGTTGGAAAATGGATCAAATTTAAACAAGAGAGCAAGAGTCAAAGAAGCAATGGTAAGAGAGGAGTACAGCAGTATGATTTCATAGCTGTTCCCCCCCTAATAAACACATATATCCTCTTATTGTAAGTACTTATATTCGAGATACTGTTAGTACTAAATATGAGTACCTCTCTTAATATAAATTTGAACTTTAGTTCTCAATGTTATGAGGAACTAACTTTTTTCATTAGACCTAATGTCTCTAAGAACTATATTATAACTAGGGATGTGTTCGGTTTAGCATCAAGAACACCACAATACCATGTTTGCTTGAAAGCAACAAATTGTGATTTTTGGACAAACACAGCCTCTAGGTACCTATTTTTCAGGTAAGTCCCCAAACGGTGTGGTCTTTTGAGAAGCATGCTTCTCACATCACTTGAATTCTGGAATTTGTACATCTCTTGAACATGTATATCCAAACTCACTTAAAACCAGATTAACATCACCACGTGGTCTCATTCCCCAACAAAACTCTGTTACACTTACCAGCTATAGTTAGTTAGATTGAATGGTAAGAGACTTTACACTTTTAAATAATACTCCTCCGATCCTAAATATAATATTCATTTTGTACTAATTCAAGTTTAACCTTAAAATGGAAAAAACCATATTACAAGGCTTTCTTGGGGGCAATAACAAACAAGCAGCCTTATCCTATTTGATAGGCTCAATTACATAGATTACACGGTATCACTGTGTTCTACTAACAACAAAATCTTCAGATTTATTGTTAACCATAAGGCACCGTTGAATAAGTTATTGCGTGTTCTCGTCAAATTCTCTCTACCTCTTTAAAAAACTATCAAAACGAATCTCATGGTTTCAATTAATGTCACCTCTGCAACCTGAAGGTTCAAGGATGATTCTCTCTTAAAAGAGAGGGAATCAATGACCTTTGTAGGACTACGTAGATTGGGTTCTATAGCTTCTTGTCCAATCATAAACGCTCATTCTTAAGGTTGATGAACTTTAGTACTTCTTCCATGCACTAATCCTCTAGGATACTTTTATACAAAACAACGTAGTTGTAAAGAGCTTAAGAAGTACCTTGCGTTGTCGCGCTTGTGCTAGCGTTTTGTCGAGTTGTTTCTCAAGATTATGCAATTCTTTCATGTTTAGTGGCTCAAGATCTTCTCCAAGCAGATGCCTTCATCATATAGACCAAACACAAAAATCATATGTTAAGACGTCCATCGCTCTAATCTAATTAAATAAGCACTTTGTTTTATGTCATCATATATTTATTCCCAACCTTTGTGTCCTCTCAAGAGCTTCATGTTTGACTTTTAATCTCAAAAGCTCCTGGTACAAGTTCTGCAAATTCACACTAAAGCTGATGAATATAATGGCTTTGTAGTAATTAATAATTTGTCTTCTGAACTCGTACGTTTTTGTCATAATAAATCAGAAAAATGAAGACATGAAAGGGGAAAAATTTTTAACCTGAGATTCATGTTCAACAAGGTCGTCAGCCTGTGAGATGTAACAACATTGACGGTACCGCTCTATGGTTCTGTCTAGGCTGCATCGCATCAACAACCATTAATTATATTACTTCTTAGACTATAGTTCATATAAATAATTAATAAGCAGTATAATAATTAGTATATTCCAATAAATATCGCTGTCCTTTGAAAAAAAAAAAAGTTGGATGTACAGTATCGTGGTTCAACAAAGATTTTTCTTTTCAACAAACAAATGAAACAGAACCATATCTGGATGGAAATGTGCCTCCACATAAGTCACACATAAGTCAAAAATATTCTTCTCTGTATCTTCTCTGGCGAAAAAGAAATATAATTTCTTCACATAGAGAAGTGATTAACAAAAAACCAACAGATCGATCTTGAAATCCTCAAAACCCGATCTTAATCAGCGAATTTGGATATAGTAGAAGGAAGATTCAGTGAGGAGGTATTTTTGTGTAACATTCATGATATCCTTTAACGAAATTCTCTGTAGTTTTAAAACCACAATTTGTGATTTCATATCATTTTAAAATTACGAAAATTTTTACTCAACAACCTTAATTATGCAATTAAAACTTAAAATACATAAGAGTCTCACTACGTATTGCTGAATCCATCACTTGATAAACCCTAATCATTAATGAACCAAATTAATTCTCCAAACAAAACAGTACTTCTTCACTTATCATCATCATCTATGTACCTTTGGTAGTTTGGTTCATTTCTGGAAAACCGTTGGAATTAGTTGAGAGGAATGTTCCTCTGATCATATTTGTAAGTCACTTCCAACATGTTTCACACAAATAAAAAAAAACTCTTAACTTTATTAATTCTCATTTAAAATTTAACAAATTTTCAACTTTATTCTTATTTAATATATATTATACCTCATGTAAACAAGTTAATATAATAATAGATAAAGGGTAAAATTGTACATTTATATAAAAATTTCTCTCAATACCTTATAAATAGGATCAAAAAATATTATCTCTTTCTATCTTATAAATAGAACCAGAAGAGTAAACAGCTTTTGGTTGAGACAACCCCTACCTAATACTAATAAATAGCTTTTCAAACCTTACGTCACATCTACAAATACATCATTCTATTAATGATAAAAAAAAATGTACGCAAGTTTCAATATTTAATTTAGAAAATTTATGGTCAAACTATAACAAAAACCCAAAAAAAAAAAAAATCACACACACGACTGGGAAAATTAATCATTAGACTTAGGTGCAACTTAATCAAAATCAAACAATCATACCCTTGCCTTCACCATGGTTTCAGAAGGTAACAATACGACTTATCATTAGTTGTCAAAACTAATAAAAACTGATGAAACTTCTCGTAAGAACAAATAGAACGGAATAATATTTCTCTCCAAAAATATATATCCGCTCCAGTGTTTCAGATTATATATTACTAATGTAATTAAAAAAAAAAGGATTATATATTACTAGACCGCCTACCAGAAAAACTTCTTAAAAAAAAAAAAAAAAAAACCAGAAGAGGCAAACCGATCTCCCACGCACAAGCAAAGAAATTATATTACAAAATAATAAAGTAGAGCCGGGAAAACGGGTCGATCCTGTCGGGCCGGCCTGTTTAGGCTCTGAAATTACGAGGGCAAGGCTTAAAATTTTTTTCTTCAAATGAGAAATAGGCTCTGAAGGGCTGGTTATGGAGGGCCGAGGGCTTAAAAGGATTGGCCTTAGAGGGCCGAGGGCCGACCCCTTTAGGCCTTTTTATATTTTTTTTTAAATTTTTTAATGCAATTCTAATATTATTAATTTTTTACATTATTAATAATATTTCAAATATTTAGTTATTATTATTTTAAAATTAAATTTTACAGAATAATTTGATTTATTTAGTTTTAGATAATAATTTATCCAATTAAATTTTTTTAAAAATAGGTTAATTTAGACTTTAATAATGATTTGATTTATATTATATCTGTTAATATTTTTAAACTATATATATTTGATAATAAAGTGTTTTTATACTTATATAACGTGTGATTCTATAATTTGAATTAAAAATTCATGAGTTTCAACAACAATGTTTCTCACATTAAAGTAAAATAATAGTTAGATTGCAAAATTTAAAAGTAAAACTCCTATTAAAAAAACTTGATATTTTTGTTACAAAAGAAAAGCATACTTATGAAGAAGAGTAATTGATTATAGTGATGATGGAGTTTTAAAAGATTAATGATAATGATTATTTATTGCACAATTGCACTATAGATAAAACTTTTGAATGTTGTTATCTTGTTAATGACTGTTTTAGATGTTCTTGGATGTTGATAGATATTTATATATGATAATATTTTGTATTTGTAACTTAATTTTATTCGTATTTATGTCTTTTATTAACAATTTCATTGGTCTGTTTTCTTTTTTTAATAAAAATATGAGAAATATAAAAAAGAGCATTTTTTCTTAAATGGACCAAAAACCCGCAGGCCGGCCCTAAGCCCGTTAGCTTAAAGGTCAAGTCTAGAAAATTGGGGTATTTTTAAAATTTCAGCCCTGGAGGACCGACCTTTTTAAGCCCGCCAGCCCTAAAGGGCCGGCCCTGATTCTTACCTCTAGAATAAAGATTTGTCATGTATCTATAGCCATGGAAGTTAATCACCCAAAAATTATAAAAAGAAATAATGAAAATGGTATAGCCACAACAAAAATATCAAGCCAACAAATAACACCCTTCTCCCGGACGTGAAAACGACTCATATAACTATGCTATTTCTTCAAAAGATAATTATCAAAGAAACAAGCAGAAATAAATATATGTTGTGTATCAAATTTTCCAAAGGAAGAGAGAAAATATCTAGTTGGAATATTCCCTCAAACCTCCATGTTAACTTAATTCTTTTCAAACAAATTACCAATTCCTGACCACTCATTAATTATTACTATCTATGTACCTTCAATTCATTTCTGGAAGATTGTTGGAATTAGTTGGGAAGAAAAGAGGCTACGAGCCCCCAGAGTGGTATTCTGGCAAAAACTAGCGATACAAAGAAGTAGAAAACCCTAGCTATTATCAAATGAACATGGAATCTAAATCATATATTAAAAGAATAAGTTATATTGAACAGTCCCTGAATTCTGTTGTCATGTGTTTCAATGACTACTTCACTTTACTTGACCTTTAACTTTTGACAATAAACTCTTCCAAATTTCAAATTACATATATATCACACCTTTGATATTTATTAGCTCGTTATTTGACACGTAGAATGATATCTAATTGACAAAAGTTCTCCTACTTTATTGTGGTGGAGACAACTCCTAAAGTTAAATTATCACTAACTGACTTTATAAAACTTTTAACTATGTTAATATCAAATACGTTCTTCTATATGCTGCGTAATAATAACGAAATAATGGAGTGATTGATGGTAAAAAAATTTCACAATATTAAAAGTTAAAACATTTTATTACGGAAACGAAGAGGTATCGCCAAAGATTTGACTGAAAGAAATTAGAGTTACGTGCAATTTAATCAAAAAGAAGTAGGAAATAACACACGATGACTAATATGTAATCGAATAAATCATTATAAGACCTAGAAATTAAAATTATCACACACAGGATGACTACAAATTACGTTACAAATTAAAAGTATTTGTAATTTAATCAAAAGTAAATAAAACCATTGCCCTCTCAAGTTTCAGAACGAAATATGATTTATTAGCTGCCGAAACTAGCAGGACCTGATCAAACAGCTCGAAATTAAAGAACACACACAGTAATACAGAACAATATCCTCCAACTGAATATATTACTTGCAGTTCTAATTATAAGATCTCGTTTATAGACTACAAACGAGTTCCTATAATTAGGATTAGGAGTAGTATAAATATATCCACACAAAAGGGTGATTTAATTTCAAGATAATATGTGAAGAAGATCGCCCACCAGAAGAAACAAACAAAAACAGAAGGAGGCAACACAAATTCACATAACAAAACAGGGAAAATTACATGCAAAAGATCTGTGAACAGGAGTAAACTAAGTGAACAGAACTTAAAAAGGAGAACTCACACCCAGTACCCACTACTCGCTGTCTGACTCAAATCCATAATATAGCCACAAAAGCTGACCGCAGAAACCAAGCAAGCACATTCATAATCATGATGCCTTTGGTGGATGAAAAGGAAATTAACGAGGGAAACAAAAGGAGTTGAATTGAAATCCATAGATAATATCAGAAAAAGAAACCAGAGAGAGATCGGGGAGAGAGAGAGGGAAAGGAATTGACATTACTCAGAACTGCTGTACTGGAAAAGCTTCCCCCGGCTGGAAAAGATAACAAGAGCGACCTCAGCATCGCACAACACGGAAAGCTCGTACGCTTTCTTCAGCAATCCATTCCTTCTCTTCGAGAATGTTACTTGCCTGTTGATCTTGTTCTCTATTCTCTCCAGAACCACTCTTCCTCTTCCCATCTTCTCTCTCTCCCCCCTCTCTCTCTACTGCACTATGATCTGCAAGATCTCTCTCTCTCCCCCCCTATTTATCTTCACCTACACGAAGAGATAAAAAAGAAGAAAGAGAGCACAAAAAGAGACAGCATGCATCACCAAGATTCCTCGATTACCGAGTCTCTTTCACTGAAGTAACATCCTTAAGGAATCTCCGTAAAATACCCGACTTAGGTTTATTTACCTGTGTGGCTGTGGCCTGTGCTCTACTGCCTACAGTTAATTACCGGCCTCGTAAACGGGAAAGCTCGGGAAAAATAATGAGAAAGGGAGCGAAAACTGAACCACGGGGTTGATGAATGAATGGGTGACAGAAAATTATTGGTAACCTTGGAGTTTCTGTTTTCCTCAATGATTCATTTCTTGAATCCGTCAACTTTGGAAGGCAGAGAGAGGAAAGCTTTCCTCATTGAGATACATAAGATTGTTAAGAGAATTAAGGACCTCACACTTCACAGTAGCGGTTAAGGTTTTTGCGTCGGCAATTTCAAGTACATATATTTTCTCAAGATAATGAATGGGGCCCCCAAGTTGAATTGAGTATATTTTCAAACTTGTTTTATTGTGAAATGAAAAATGAAATCAACATGTATTATTTCAATCTTAATAGCTTGCGGTACGCTGCGCTGCATGTCCTTGTTCGAAATTAATTCTTGCTGCAGGTTCTTGGATGTCGTTGTCTTCAAAATAAATTCTTAAAAATAAATGCATGTGTGTGTGTATATATCTCTCTCTCTCTGGTTTTTTTGGCATACTTAATATTTAGTGGATAAAAAAGGTTATGAAATTTGAATTGTGTACTCCTATATATCATCCCCTTTGTAGGTTATATAATTACATTTTTAATATAAATGTATTGTATTATTTTATCATTTGTTTGTTATTATGTAAATTTTTTTTCTTGAAGAAAATATATATATTAAATGAGGATAAAGTTGAAAAGTTATTCAATTTTAAGGAATACTTAATGAGGTTTAAGATTTTTCTTAATTTTAATAAAATATGTTAAAAATAACTTATAAATAAGACAAAATGAGTAAATAACTTTCTTAATCTTAAAAGCTAGAAAAAAAAATTCTCAGCTTCTAATTTTATGTTTACAACGCTTTTGGTTAAATATAATGTTATTTTACCAACCAAACATGATATATTAAGTGTTAATATGCAAATTTGTCCTTGAAGCTTTCACTCAGGAGCATTGGGCACCATTTTTTTAATGCAAATTTGGCCTAAAAGTTTAAAATCATAGCAATATTACCCTTTATTGTTAAAAAATTAATGTTGACCATTAAAATAGTGACATTGATCATTAATATTTTTAATGGTAGGAGGGAAAATTGTCATGACTTTAAATTTTTGGGGTAAGTTTGCACTCAGAAAAACTTTTAGGTGCCCAACGCTTCTGAATAAAAACTTTCAGAGCAAATTTACACACTAATTCATATATTATTAACAAATAAAGAACAAAACATGAGTCAAATTTATTGGAATCGCTATATCTATTGTTTCAACATATTTGTGTCTTATTTTTTTTAATCAGCATTTGGGTTAAATGTTGAATGAGAAAAATACAAATGACAGAATCTGATTTGAATAAAGGATATAATAATTCTAAGGAACTTGACTTAAATTCTATGCGTCCTTAACCAAAAAAATCTATTGAATTCTTTTTTAATTTTCCCCGCAAATGACCTTTTCAAACTTTAAACTATGTGTAGATAATCCCCTAAGTTTTAACAATTAACTTCAAGGGTTTATTTGCAAACATTAAAATATTTAGGGAGTCCATTGCAAAGTTTTAAATACCAGGAAAGTTATATAGTTTAGAGGATTATACATAATTTAGACTTCGCTGTTTGAGTTTTTTCCTCACAAATTAAAGCCACTTATTTTTTAGCAAAAAAAAAAATTTGAGAAATTTTTTCATGTTTGTATATTAAAATAATAAAAAAATTTTTTTGATCATTTTGATAATTAAACTGCTCTAACTAAATTTTTAAAACAATCGAATATGATAGATTTGAGAAAATGTTTATAAATTTATATAGATATATATATATGTATTCATATGATAGAATTAGAAGATCACAAAATATTAAAAACACATTACTGATTATCTTTTGACAATTCCATCGTAATCTGATCATTAAATTATGAACTAATATCGTAATCGGTTGAATAATTAATCCAAATTTTTATTTTTTTAATCCTATCCTAATTCTCTCATGTAGGGATGGGACCAACACACATACACACACTCTTTTGTCTCCTAAACCACTCGGGGCGATTTGATCTTATACCATTTTTTATTGTAAGGACTGTGAGGTGTTGTAACTTATACAAGGTTCTGGCCGCAATTTATGATATTTGAGGGAGACGATAAAGTGATGCTCAGCTTATAAAATTCCATATGTTTATTTTATAAATTATAATTTATATATGGTTAAAGTGTAAATTTGTTTTGAAAGTTATAGTTTAGTAGTGCTGAGCAACCATGAGTTTTTTTGGGTTACAAACTTGCTCTAAAGGTTTAAAGTCATAGCAATGTTGTCCCCTGTCATTAAAAATATCAATGATCAATGTCACTTTTTTAATAGTCAACGTTAAATTTGTAATAACATAAGACAAGATTGCTACGATTTTATATTTTCAAGTCTCAACACGCCTAAATAATTAAAATTTTTATAATAGATTTGCAGCTCAATCCTCTTGTTTTTTTAACATGTTGGTATGTCAATTATTAGGACCTTATGTAATTGATGAGAAACCATGTAACGTGATGATAAAACAAAAGGATGTTGATGCCAATTGCCAAAAGAGAATGATACATATAGCATTAAGCATATACTCTTTTGGTTCTATTTATAAGGCAGAGTGAGAAAATATTTTTTTTATCCTACTTATAGGGTACTAAAAGAAATGTTTTGTATGGATATACAATTTTATTCTTCATTTATTATTATATTGATTTTGTTTACATAAGGTATAACATATATTAAATGGGGATAAAGTTGAAAAGTTATTGAATCTTAAATGAGAGTTAATGAAATTTAAGATTTTTTTTAATTTGTGTAAAACATGATGAAAATAACTTATAAATAAAATTAAAAAAATATTCCAAGAGGCATCGTGTCCACTTGGCCATAAGACAGAATTTTCTGAAGCAGAGAGCTTCGCTTCAATATTTCATTACAGTCATGATAATAATAATGACGGCCATCCTCCCCTCGGTCGTCTTCCTCCAAAATACATTGATATTGTCATTTCACTTCTTGTTTGGACTCAGACTTGGTACTGTCCATTCGTTTTGGTCTACAGATTCCCTTTCGCAGTCACTTCTTAGTTCCTATGAAAAAGCCACTTTCATGTCCTTTTCTCTCCCCTTTGGAGGTCAGATCTCATCTCACCCTATTATCAGGTGGGTCCACTCCCATGGAGCCTTGCCAGGTTTCAGCTTCTCAGTGGGTTTCTTCGATGCTTTGGAGGCCATATGCTGACCTTGCTGGTCGAGATGCTGTGTACTTGGCGTGGGGCCAACTGAACCTCGACACGTTTCGAGCTCACATGAATTGCGTTGCAGCCGAAGAGGGCCCAACAATAGGCCATAGGGTTTTTCCCCTGTCCTTGTCGTTTATCTTTTGCTTACATGAAGCTCAACAAAAGCGAGTGCTTTCCCAACCCCCACGTTTGACGGTCCCCTCTAGAATTTTTCACCCCCTCCCTCATAATTTTTCTGTTTTTTCATCTGCTTTTTCTTTTTCTAAAAAAGTTTTAGATTCCATAACTAAAAGGCCAAACCTGGGTTATTATTAAAATTACTTTCTTATAAAAAAAATTAAAATTAGCTTTATTTTGAATTTTATATCCATTAAAAATAAAATAAAATAGATCTAAATTATCTAAATTAAGAAGAGCACTCCATAAAAGAATTGTAAAAATATTTATATGTTGTTTACCTACAAAATTCTCATGTTAATAATAGAATTTAAATTTGTGTGTTAAGGATTTTCTCATTTGAATTTAAAGAAAGTATTTATAAGTTGGCTCTTGAATGTTTTTAATAATTCATGCACACATTATATTTTTCATAAAAGTTTTGAATTTACAGTCTTACACTTAAATAAATTGGCTAGTAAACCAGTTGAGACTTGAGATAATTGTTTAAGGATATGTTGTTCTAACCGAAATCAATTTAGGATAACATAATTTAATTAAAATATATAAAAATATTCATATATAGTGCCCTGAAAAAAATTAATGTTTGAATGAAAAGAATATTCATATATAAACCGTGCATAATTTAATTAAAAATAGTTAATAAAATAAAAATACAATGAATTGCTATTTTTCTTTAAACTCAAAATGTTGTCATTTTAAAATCAATAATAAAAAAAAGAAACAAAGCTCAGCCTAATTAACTGATTTAAAACTCTTAACTGAACCAGCCGACAAACTGACGCACTGGTTTAACTCACTAAATTGATTGGGTTTTCATATCAGGGGTGTCATTTAGACATGTTTTATAATCTGAATGTTCTTAAACATTGCTTATAAATTACTCCTTTGGTCTTATTTATAACACAAAGAGAGAAGAAAATTTTTTATCCTATTTATAAGACAAAGAGAGAAAATTTTTATATAAATGCACAATTTTACTTTTTATTTATTATTATGTTAACTTTGTTTTCATTATGTATACTATATATTAAATAGAGATGAGGTTAAAAAATTATCAAATTTTAAATAAGAGTTAATAAATTTTAAAATTATTATTAGTCTATGTAAAATATATTGAAAGTAACTTATAAATAAAATCAGTATAGTCGCTCAGAGAATATAAATCCACGACCTTGTAAGGTATACATGTGTCACATTCTTGTGAGCTGTGCCAACCTTAATGATTCTCTGAAGTGTAATGAATCATCTTCTTCTGCCATCCACACACTGAGCATGCTTTTCTCATCTGATCTCTTTTATCTCTTTCTCGATGATTGTTTCTTCTTTTACTAACCTTAATAATTCAT